CCGAGACCATGTTCTTGAGCCAGAAACCAGTAGGGTGCCTTATCCGGGTCAGGGAGGAGGTCCCACCCCAAGTGGAGGAGTTTAAGTATCTCGCGGTCTTGTTCACGAATGAGGGAAGAATGGAGCAGGAGATCGACAGGCGGATTGGTGCTGCGACTGCAGTGATGCGTGCGCTGTATCGGTCATGGTGAAGCAAGAGCTGAGCCAGAAGGCAAAGCTCTCGGTTTACCGGTCAGCCTACATTCCTACCCTCATCTATGGTCAGGTAATCTTTGGGTAGTGACTGAAAAAATACAAGCGGCCAAAATGAGTTTCCTTCGCAGGGTGTCTGGGTTCTCCCTTAGAGATAGGGTGAGAAGCTCAGTCATCCGGGAGGGACTCAGAGTAGAGCCGCTGCTCCTCCACGTCGAGAGGAGCTAGTTGAGGTGGCTCGGGCGTCTTAGGATGCCTCCTGGACGCCTCACTGGTGAGGTGTTCCGGGCACGTCCCACTGGGAGGAGGTCCAGAGGAAGACCCAGGACATGCTGGAGGGACTATGTTTCTCGGCTGGCCTGGGAATACCTTGGGATTCCCCTGGATGAGCTGGCCCAAGTGGCTGAGGAGAGAGAATTCTGGGTCTCTCTGCTTAGGCTTCTGCCCAAGCGACCCGATCTCAGATAAACGGCAGAAAACGGACGGACGGATGGATGGACGAAATGGACAGACTTTTTTATGGTGCCCAAATTTATGCAACTGCTTAATTTTGTTTAACTAATTATTGCACACTTTCTGTAAATCATACCTACTTCATTTTACTTCTCAAATATCATTGTGTTTGTCCCCTATATGATATATTTTACTGATTTTTAAAGGTAAATCAGGAAAATTAACAAGGCTGCCCAAACTTTCACATCCCACTGTACATGTTATCTGATTTATTATTTACAAATAAATGGCAACAAATCAATGGCTTCCAGAGGCAACACTAAAAAAACATAAACTAAGTGAATATTATATTTTGAAAATATTTTAGAGAAGCTCTTAAGGTGTTTGTCAATATTTAAAGAAGTAGTTCCCAACCCTGGTCTTTAAGGACTCCTGTCCTGCATGTTTTAGATGCAGGACATCTTGGTTTGAATGAATGAGTGATTAACAATCTTCTGAAGAATCTTGAGACCTGCTGAATAGCATGGAAACAAACATTAAGGATAGGCGTACTTGAGGACCAGGGTTGGGAACCAGTGGTCTAGAAGACCATTTTGATGTCTTGGCTGGCAAATTACCAAAAGTGAAACCTACCATAATTTTCAAAAGGGATTTAAAACATTTTTGTGAGCAGGCCTTTCTTCATGACGTAGCCACTTTTGACTGGAGTAGAACGTCCTTGATAGATGACGTAGAACTGGCACTGGAGTACTTTTATGAGGGATTTCAAAACATAATAAACACATGGTCCGTATCATAAATACAGACTAAAAGGGTCGTAAAAACCCTTGGTTTTCTCCTGAGATAAGAAATCTGCTTAAAGAAAGAGATGCTGCTTGGGCCAAGGTCAGAAAATCAAAAGCTGAATGTGACTGGCTTAGCTTCCGGCAGCTTAGAAACAAATGCACAACCCTCATTAGAAGTGCTAAGTCAAATTATTACCTGACTGAGTCCACCAAAAATCTTAACAACTCTAAAAAGCTGTGGTAAACAATAAAATCAAATTATCTTCAGATAACAACAACTGATTCACCCAGCTCCATAATGACCAGCTCAGGTATTCTGACAGACAAAAACATCAAATCTTAACTGTCCACTGGCTCCCTATTTGAACCTGTTGATCAGTCTGATGTAAATCCACCCCCAACTCCACATGTGCTAAATAAATCGGTCGCAAACCGTTTTAACTTTGTATCAGTGTCTCACGCAGAGGTTCTACATGCTCTAAAGACTGTCGACACATGCAAAGCAGCAGGGCCTGACAAGATTGAACCACTTTTCCTAAAACTAGCTGCTGATTTCTATGGAGGACCAAACCTATCATTATTGGAAATAAATGTATAAATATATAACTGGCGTATTAAAATAAATTATAGGGTCAAAAAGAAGTTTGACAAATAAATTATTGTGCCATTAAATCAATTACATCAATTATTTAGATATACATGTGTATTTACATTTTAATTTTGAAGGATTATATTTTCTCTATGTGYTTTATCGCATATTTTTTGTTTATGTTTATTCATTACAAGTACATTTGTTGTAATTTGACTTTTCCAAGCC